GATAGATAGATAGATAGATAGATAGATAGATAGATAGAATAACTAGTTACATAGATATGAATATAGGTAGTCCTCATTTAGTGATTGTCTTGTATTCACAAAGGTGATTAAAAAATAATTTTACAACCAATCCTCACATTTGTGACCTTCACAGGAAAAGATAATTGAAGTAAGATCAGGCATAGGCATAATTTCACTTAGAGATTTAATGACCAAATTGCTGGTCCCAAGTATTGTTGCTGAAGGTCTACCTGTATGGGACATATTCGGAGAAATTACTGCATATTCTATATTTATTTTGTTTGTACTGTTAGCTAAAATTGTCCAGGAGGTGTGGGCTGGAAGATGGAAACAATTCTTGTCTAATTTATTAGGTTGCAATACTATTGGAGTAGTTTTTGAAGAAATGTTACTTTTTGTTTATTACAAGATTTTTCTGTGATAAGATATATTTTTAGACATTGAGGGATTGCCCACTTAACAGTGATTTTCAACAGAAGTCCTTTGGAGAAGGCTCAAAATAACAGTAACATGTAAAAGAGAGCCTCTTCTTGTATGCTCCTAAATGGTTGCTTTCTCTTCCTTCAGCAAAGGAGTTAAAAATGTCTTTAAATGTTCCTTTTAAGCTGCTAGTAATATTTGATTATTTTACTGATTTTAAATCGTACTATCTTGATGATATTTGTGGAAAGGAGTTACATACATTTTAACAAATATTAAGCAAAGACATTTCCTCTTAGTTACAGTTCAATATCAGGTATACTTGAATGAACAGAATTAGGTTCTCCAGACTTACTAACTTTTTGTGAATGGAAGGGCCCCTGTGAATCAAGATGAGGGGGAAGAGATGATGATGATGATGATGATGATAATGATAATGATAATAATGAAGTTGGAAGTCCAACCCCCTGCTCAGGCAGGAAACCCTATACCATTTTGGACAAATGGCTGTCCAGTCTCTTCTTAAAAACTTCCAGTGTTGGAGCATTCACCACTTCTGGAGGCAGGTTGTTCCACTGGTTAATTGTTCTAACTGTCAGGAAATTGCTTCTCTCCTTGGTTAGTTTCCATCTTTCTTCCCTGTTTGTCGACTCTCTTCCCGCACAGTTTCAAATGGTGATTGGAGTTAGGAGTTTTCCCCTTGCATCTTTCATCCAATGATAGCTGTAAATCACAGCTTGCATCCAAAGGGTCAGCTCCAAAGGGCTTACCTCTTGCTTAACTTGGGTTGAATTGTGTTCTGTTTGTTTTCAGAGTTGCTCTCTAATAATACCTAATAGTTTGATTTATGCTTCCTCAGGGAAAATATCACACCATACTGTGTATCTTAAACTGTGTGGTGAATTTGGAGACAATACCAACAGATATGGAAGGGCTGCTTCTTAATCGTGCCATTAAAGCATTCACCAAGGCAAGTAGCGTATGACTGTGACCTTTTGTTATAAATACATCAGCGGCTGCTGATCAGCCTACAGTACTAATCATAATCCTGATAATAAAGTATTCAAACAGGTATTTCTTGCCAGGAACTTGAATTGTCTCCTTGTACTGAGACCAATTTATAAATGGTTCCTCATCTATTTAAGTCCATGGAATAATGAGTATACAGCTTTCTATGGAGTTTGCCTTATAGCTTATTAATTTTAGCAATTTATGTAAAAGTTTGAGTAATGGAGGTATTGGAACTTGGATCATTTTCAGTCTGAGGGCAGAGTTATGAGAAGAGGAAAAAGGTATGATTTTAGCCTTCCACGTTGTGGGCCATTGCCTTAATATCTGAAACATTTGTAATCCGTGTACAAGGCACGGGTAAACATTTCTGGACACATTGCATCTGGGCTCTTGCATTTACCTCAACAAAACATATCAGTGACTACAGTTCAACACAATCCTGTACATCCATTCTTTCTAATACTCTGGATTGTCAATTTAATTTTTTCCCTTTTTTTGTATGTTATCCGTTGGGTTTGTGTCTATGTTAACAATATGTTGAATTTTGTTTGCAAAGTTATTTTTGCAAACTATTTCCCTGCATTTTTGTAAATTTCTATATATTTATTTTAAATATTTCCTTCTATAATTTTGAGGCAGATTTTTATACACACGGCAAACTGCCCTGTGATATTTGGAGAAGTGCAGATATTGGAAGATTAAATTTCAGTTTGGGTATTGATTCAAAAATCCAAGCAAAACATAACTTCACTTCTATTTCATGCATATGTACCTAACAATCTCTCTCACATCTATAGACATGATTATTTGGAGAGAAGAGAGATGGCCATCTGTTTTCTGTCAGTAAACCTGGGGCTGGGAAAAAGCTTGAAGAGACAGCTTGGTGTAGTGGTTAAGGTGCTGGCCTAGAACTCAGGAAACCGTGAGTCCTAGTCCCACCTTAGACACGAAAGCCATATGGATGACCTCGGGCCAGTCCATCTCTCTCGGCTCAATTTACCTCACAGGGCTGTTGTTGAAGGAAAAATAGGAGGAATAATGAGTATTTGGTATGTTCATTCCGTCAAGTATTTATAAACTAATGAAGGCAACGTTCAGATAAATAAATAATACAAGAAAAAGTTTCATCTTCCTCAGTGGCACTAAGTTGTTTGTATGGAATCCAAAGTTTCAGTGAGCTGAAAGAATTTATATTATCTCACTCTAGCACATCCAGGTTGTCTTTCCACACATGGAATCTAAAGAAAGAATAGCACTGGAAGGAAATTCATATCTGTACTTTAGTCATTATTACTGTTTATTTTGATATAACACAGATTTTTTCACTATTTTTTCACATATGACAAGAGTCAGAATACATTTATTAAAAATGTACAAAATTGTACTACACAAACATTTTCCCTAGTTGTAAGAAAAAATAAATAAAGTGCATATATGTCTCATTAACATTTGCTTTGATAAAGCATAGAATAACTGAAAGAAAAAAGTAGCTTACTAGAACTTTGAATAACTCAGAAACAATGTTTTACATAAACTCTCATTATTCTGTTTATTAGTCTATCTCTTATAGCAGTTGTGAAGTATTATATTTGAAACATTATAAATTAAAACTATATTATCTGAGTGTATCAGACAAATCAGAGTTCCCCAACCTTTTTGGCTTTGAGGATTGGGAGAGGGAGGGGAATGGTTTTGTGAGCATGGCAGGCAAGCATCTGCACACAGCTCCATTTGTGTGAGCGGCAGGCCCAGTTCAAAAAACTGAAGGCCCTGAGGTGGGCGTGGCCCGGAGTTGGTGATCTCTGAGATAAATGATTGAGTCCTTGAGTTCATTGAATCCTTTACATTTTATATTATTCTACTTGGATAAATCCTGATATTAGAGGTTGTAGAGAGTATTCGTAGATTTAGGCAGAGATTTGTCCTCTGAGTTTGCTGCTTGGCTCCCGGACATTTCGTTACCAAACTAGGTAACACCTTTAGCGGGTTTGGGGAGTGAAATGTCTTGTTTGTTTATATAGGTCCTGGGTGGTTAGTTGGTCTTGTAATCAACAAGACTGATTGAATCACAAGACAGTATATAAGCAGAAGACTTATATAAGCAGAAAGACACTACACCCAAAACCCCGCTGAAGATGTTACCTAGGAGCCAAACAGCAAGCTCAGAGGACAAACCTCTGCCTAAAACTCTGATGTTTCTTATGTTTTGTAAGATAACTTTAAATTTGTTTTCAGCAGATGAACTATGATTCTGAAGGTGGATCAGATGTTTACAGCATTTTAAAGAATGTTTTCAAACAGATACTGGAACACCAAAGACAATATACCAGTGAAGAAACGGAAAAGCTTTTATAATGTTTACATTCCTATGCTACAGTTCTTTGTAGTGCCGAGAAATTACTTTTCTTTTTGTATCCCTTGTTTTGCATTAATTACATTTCTGTTAATGTTGTTTATTCAATATCTGAAGGTTGTTTTCTTATGTATGCATATGCATTGTTATTTAATACCTTGCCATTTTTGTGATTGTAACGTGGCATTTTGGGTTTGAATATTACATTAAAATGCTATACAGTTTTCAGTGATAGGTTTATTAGTTGGATCAAGGAGAAAAATCCCTTTGTTCCAAAGTGGATAAGGTGATCCTCATTGATTCCTCCTCTCCCATATGTCACCAAGAATCTGTGCAGGAGGGTTAGGGCAGGGGTAGGCAACCTTGGCTCTTTTATGACTCGTGGACTTCAATTCCCAGAATTCCTGAGCCAGCTATGCTGGCTCAGGAATTCTGGGAGTTGAAGTCCACGAGTCATAAAAGAGCCAAGGTTGCCTACCCCTAGGTTAGGGATAGAAGAATAGAGGTCCCTAATCAATGGTGTTGGCAGCTGTTTTTAGATGAGGAATCAGCCTAGATTGCTTTTTCTTTACCTTTTTTCCCCAACAGGGATGATTTCAGCAGCACTCTGCTAGGCTCTGTTCCCATTGGCTCATTGAAATCTACATTCAACCTGCTATTGAATTGTTGCCATAATTCACTGCCATAACGTGCTAGTTTATTCAGTTAAATATTTGCGTATTAAAACTCTTAAGCCTAAAATGTTGTTTACATTAGTGGTATTATGTTTTATTTTGTGATTAGTAAACATTGACTGATATAAGTGACTGTCGTACAACTATATGACTTTTCCTTGGTAGCCATAAAAGAATTGAATTGAATGCCAAAATAAATTTGTAGCAAAAAAATCTAAACATAACTTAAAATATGAAGGTAGATAACTGCCAGCTCATAAATGGTTATGAGAAAGTTGAAACTTTATATTTTTTAAAATAAAATACTGCAAAAGTGAGATTTGTGTTATAGTAGCTTATTTAAAAAAAAAAAAATGAATAAAGGAAATATTTACAGTGAAAAATGTTCCTGGCTGTTGATAAATCAGGGTTTCTTTCCTTACTAGGATAATAGTCTTAGTCTGAGTTGTTCTCATGGTTATTGACATTCTTGATTTAGCTTTTCATTCTATTTTTATCTTAATCCAGATAGCTATTTAAATGAGTTTAAATACATTCAAAAATATCTAATGTGTCACTTTGTTACTTATACAGGATCAGTACAATAAAGACCTGAAGGGGATTTTATTTTGACCATGAGATTGATTTTCCAAAAATAGAAGATCATTTGCTTTCTAAAAATGCTTGCCAGTATTTTACACAGCACTAATATAAAATATCCTGTCAGAAGCAGGACTGATAGCAAGATCCTTGAGAAAAAGATACGATGGGAAGCGTTCTGTGTAGATATCCCTTCAAGAAAGTCTTGGCTTCTGTCATTAGTAACTATTATTAATACAATTGTTGAGTTTAGAAATCTGAAAGGGACATGAAATTATTTTTGCCAACTAGAATATAGAAGCTCTGCAGGCAACTACAAATAGTAGAAGATAAGCTTTCATTTTTCTTTGCCTTTCCCACAAATCTTGCTTCTGTTCTCAATAGGTCTCTTCCAACCCTTTCCCATTAATAACACTAATACATAACTGTGCACCTCTAAATGTGGAATCTCTGTCCATTGACTATTTTTTTAAAAAATGTAACTGGATTTTAACAGTGAAAATGGGATAAAAATCATTTTTTTAAATAATCAGAGATACTACAGGCTCTATCAGACCCATAGTAGCCATATTCACATCTGTTGTAGTAGTACTAGTAAGAGTTGTATGACATACATAAGAGATGTATCAGACCGATTATCCATCTATTCAGGCATTCTGTACTATTTGAAGATAACTAGATGTCTTCTGGATACTCTGAAACAGGAGAAGGCGGCAATAGCTCTTCTCCACTGTTAATCTAGTAATTCTAAGGCAGTGGTTCTCAACCTGTGGGTCGGGACCCCATTTGGGGTCGATCGACCATTTCACGGGGGTCGCCAAGCAAGGCTGTCCGCCATTTTTTTTTGTCTGCCATTTTTTCCCCTTTTCCGGCGGGTGCCTTACCTCCCTTGGGCTGGGCCAGCTGGTGGTCGGCCTGCTCCGTCTCTGCCGCTTGCCAGCTACGCCTCGGCCGGCGCAGGGGGCGGAACCATGCATGCACGGCGCTCCCGGGCAGGGAAAGTCCTCGACTTACGACTGGTTGGGTAGTCCTCAATGTACGACCGGTTTAGTCCTCGACTTACGACCGGTTTAGTCCTCGACTTACGACCAGTTGGGGTCGCGGCATTAAAAAGGTTGAGAACCACTGTTCTAAGGCATGTCATTTATGATTGCGTAAGTAGCCATCAAACCTAAGAAGCCATGGATAGCCCAACCCTCCATCTATGTGTGTAGTCCCCTTCAAAGACCATTTAAATTGTTGCCCATTTCCACATTTCCTTGCAGCAAATTCAGTTTTAATGATCTCTTATGTAAAGTACATAATCCTTAATCTCACATTTAGTTTAATGGTTACTTAAGTTTTAATTTATGACGGGAAAATTGTTATTTATGTTTTTCATTTCATGCAAATGAATGTTAAAGACTTCTTTCCTTTTTTGTTCCAAACTAAGGAAGCCTCAAACACTGCAGTCCTTTCTTGCATAACAGCTACATCTATTGCCTCATCAATTTGATTGCTCTTTATTTTGTACTTTTTCCAAGTACAATTTCCCTTTTCAGAAGATAACCAGAAATGATATAATACGTCAGTTACTTACTGTAATTATGTCTAGTTTAACGAAGAGAAGGACGAGGGGGGACATGATAGCAGTGTTCTAATATCTCAGGGGCTGCCACAAAGAAGAGGGAGTCAAGCTATTCTCCAAGGCGCCTGAAGGCAGGACAAGAAGCAATGGGTGGAAACTAATCAAGGAGAGAAGCAACCTAGAACTAAGGAGAAACTTCCTGACAGTTAGAACAATTAACCAGTGGAACAGCCTGCCTCCAGAAGCGGTGAATGCTCCAACACTGGAAGTTTTTAAGAAGAGACTGGACAGCCATTTGTCCGAAATGGTATAGGTTTTCCTGCCTGAGCAGGAAGTTGGACTAGATGACCTCCGAGGTCCCTTCCAACTTTATTATTATTATTATTATTATTATTATTATTATTATTATTATTATTATTATTATTATTATTATTATTATAGGAAATAGTTTTTGTGATGCAAGTAATGCAATTCCTTTGATGTGCAATTGTCATATCGGGAAGCATCCTAGACATCACCTTTAAATGTGAGATAAACAAAACTACTCTAAACAATACATGTGATGTGCAGATTTTGAAAGGTGCTGAATATAAGCTAACATCCTTCAACATTGATCCTGCTTTCTAGAATTGTTGGCAA